ATTGGATTGCAGAGAGACACAGGATTGGCTGCGGCCAGGTGGTCCAATATGTCTGCGCCCAAATCCGACGCCACACCACACCACTCCACAACATCACTCTGCAGTTTTAAAATGCGTGTGGTCGCTCTAGTAAGTGGAGGGAAAGATAGCATTTTTTCCATTTTGGAAAGTATTACTCAGGGCCACGAAATCGTTGCACTCGTCAACATGCAGCCACTTGATATCGATCAAGAGTAATTATGTACGTAGTTTTATCTCGTTTTGTGTAGTTCAATCGAGGTCGACAGTTACATGTTCCAGTCTGTTGGAGCAGAAGGCATTCAGTACCTTGCCAAAGCAATGAATTTGCCTTTGTTTCAGTCAAAAATACAAAGAAAGGCAGAATGTTGTTCTCTCTCCTACGAAGTTACGACAAATGATGAAGTATGTCCTACTCACTCACTCAAATCTGTTAAACAGGTGGAAGATCTGTTTGAATTATTGTCAGTGGTTCGGGATAAGTTTGATAATATCGGTGGCTTGGTTACTGGTGCAATTTTATCTAATTACCAGCGCGAACGAATCGAGAATATCTGTGAGAGGTTGTCGTGGGTTTCGCTTGCATACCTTTGGCGAAGAGACCAGAAGGAACTTTTACTTGATATTGTCGGCGCTGGAATAGCAGCAAAAATCGTAAAGGCATGTGTTTGACCTTTTTCCACTTATTCACCTCACAAGATAGCCGCATTCGGTCTAAATATTGAGTGTGATTTAGGGTCATGGATTGCTGACTTTGTTCCCCATGTCTTTCTTCTCGCCGATGACCCAAGTTGTGGATTGAATCCTTGTGGTGAAGGGGGTGAATTCGAAACCTTTACTTTTGATTGTCCACTTTATGTTAAAAGAATCGTGCCAATGGAACAACCGAAGGTTTTGATTCACTCCAGTGACCCCTTTTCGACCGTCGCTTACCTGCGTTATAAAGGCTTTCGTTTAGAAGTATTTATTAGTAAACTGAATTAGTTCTTCTAATTTAGAACAAAGAGGTTTCCGACATAAGACTCACCAAAGAAGCCTTGTTGAAAATTGAAAATGAGGTTTTAGTCGGTGATAAGGTTGTCCATAGGCGTCCCTTTATTTCTAACCTGGAACGATTAGCCAAGCTCAGTGACGAAGTCGCCTCAGAAATATCCTGCGATATATCCAGCTCAAAACATAATGAATTTCCCATCGACGATGCACTTCTCGCAGCACCCGTTATTAATTCGCCCGGAATCCGTTTATTCCATGGTGGCCTTCTTTTGACAGCCACGTGTGTGGGTGTATCATATTTGAGTAAGAATACAACGTTGAATACTTGCCTTCAAGCTGCAACGGGAATGGCAATCTCAAAATTAGATAAATTCCTGAGTAAGATTTCCAACATTAACTTTGTCTTTTTTGTGCTTTGAAATTTAAACCAGTATCTTTATTAGGTGGTGCCGGCCTAAAGCCTGACCAATTGATTCACTACCATGTGACAACAAACGCCGATTTATCAGATCCCAATATAGCTACTACAATTAGTGAGCCTCTTAAACTTCTATTTGACACTCCGAGTGTTAGGAAGCGCCGCGTCGGAAACGCTCCACCCAGTCAAGTTTGTATCTCATCTCATTGGCCTGTTGAAGCGCTGAATCTTATCCGCGACGTTCGGCTGTTGCCAGAAGTATGAATTTCACTTTTACATTGAACTAATGCTGTAAAAACCCGTGACGTGACTAAAAACTAATTTAGTCTGCGTGCCTTCTGACTATCCACTGAACAATTCTGGAAGTTGACTATCATTCTTTTTTATCCCCATTCTTTTATACTTCGTGTGTACCTCACGGATACCCATCCTCATTGACCTCACCTCTAGAGAACTTCATTGGATTAACCAGAACTTTTCTATGCTCGGAAAATTTATATTTGTGTAATCAAAGTACCCGGGGGTTGGTACTTGCCTTTTATATACTTTTTTTCACTAACCCCTTCACTAGAGAAGTTTTGATGCGCCTAGATCACAGAAAGGGAGCTGATCGTTGTCGGGTTATCTGGTATTGCTGTCGCTGGTGGGACAGAGACAACAATCATCGACGTAATGCGAGTAAGATCATTGTCTCACTGGGCTCCTGCTGTCGTGGCACCTCACAGCCAAGCAGTGCGCGTCGGTTCACACTGTATTTTCGCTGGACAGGTCGGTATTATGCCTGAAACTCTACAGTTGCCGCCCATTTCAGTGGAAAGCCCCGTTGATCACCTGCCCCTTCATATCGATCAACAGTGTTGGCTGGCTCTTCGTCATGTTCACAGGGTCATGAAGGTAAGAGTAAGCCTTTCTTCAAAAAACCCACTGGTGGGATTTCTGTAAGTAAAACGGCTGCTACTAACTGGATTTATGTACAAAAGCTGCGTATGCGGTTTAAGTTTCAAGAAATTGGATAGTTTTTGTCTTAGCTCTAGGCGTTGCCGTATTTTGCTCTCCATAACCGAAACCCATTTATTTTGTACTTCCAGAGATTGAGCCAGCTCTTGGGTCCTTATCCAATGGATTTTATGCCTCAAAAGCAAGTTCGACTGTAAAAAGTATTTAGGGTATTTGGCCGACCACTAGCCCGTTTAGTGCACGATATGTAAACAGGGTCTTAAATTTTAACGTCTACTCTATAGCTTTTGCACCTCAAATGCGCAGTTCTGCTAAAGGCACCCACGCAGGTATAATGTGTCCTGTCGCTTTGGATTCCGAGAAGGCTCAGTAAAAGACGACAACATGCTTTATTGTGAAAATGAGGATTACACAAACTCAAAGAGTATAGT